ACAAATGTGCTTTACACAATTGATGTATGTATGGATTGTGATAAGAGTTGTATGAGCCCCTAATAAAATGATTCAAAAAAAGAAGGAAATGTTCTAAAATTGATTGTGATGATGATTGTACAACTCTTCTTACTATAACTGAACAAATGAATTGTTTGATATACGAATTATATGCCAACAAAACTGAAGGTATAAGCATAGGTGTGTACATATGTAAATATATTAATCCACAAAATAAAAAAAATTTTAATTGAAAAAAAAAAAGAGAAAAGCTGGAAACAAATAATCAACTAGAAAAACAACCACAATGAACTGTAAGTAGTCATACAAAAAAAACAAACAAACCATGTGCAGTCAATAAATGTTTCTTAATACTGACAGGCATGGAGAGGGGCTCATGGAAGAGGGGCTAGAACGTATTATACACCTACTCCTCTCTTATCGGCAATCTGGTTATCAGACATTTTCCACTTAGGATACTAGTAAAAATCTATCTCATTAACAACCAGGCAGTAGTAACGAGCACCGAGATGTGAGGTGAAGTTAACACTGGCTGTGATGGTTAAAGTTGTGTCAACTTGGCTAGGTCATGATTCCAGTGGTATGGCAATTACGTAATGATATAAGTTAGGCATCTATCTAATGATGAAATTTGGCGGTTATGTGATGATGCAGCCGTCCTCCATTCTGTGATCTGATAAGATCCTACACCAATTTTCACATACGCTATAGCCCTGGGAACCTAACCATGTGGATAAGAGAAGAGCGGGTATAGATTACTCTCCTTGTGCTTAAACTTGAGTCTTCATGTAGACACACGGACACACTCAGGCAACTGTATTCATCAAAACAGTGCTTCTCATGTGATAGAAAAATTTACATTTTCATCATCTTATTCTTTTCTACATCCGTAATAAATCTGTATTTACTTTGTGGGTTTTTGTTTTGTGGTTTAATTTTAAAATGTTTTAAATTCAAAAGCCACATTGGGTATGAAATGCAGTCATTAAGTCTTTATGCCATGTGACTTGTGCTCAAAGGATAAAGATTACAAGCACTGCCATAATTATAGATAATAGAACTCATAATTCATTAAATGCATCTCAGTGTGGCAATATTGCCTCCAGGATAAATCAAGTAACTGCTTATGATCAGCACAAGCCATCAACGCGGTGAGCCTCATTTCGAGGACGGCTATCTGGGGCCAAATACCCTCCCACAAGTGCTCCTCTGCCACAAGCATGAGATGTGTGCAAGCCATGCACACACACGAAATTTGTCTAGACAACTGACAGATGCCAAAAGTTTATAGGACACTTTTATTTCTTTTTCTCTCTGCATTGTTTTGAGTATCTTGCTCTCCTGACGTCTTAAAAAGAGTACTCAAAGTACAATCTGATAGGGGCAGTCATCAGTGAGCACTAGTGAACTGCATTCTAATATAGCATCACCCTTACCACTAATTAAAGAGACCTCCCTGGGGACAGAGTGGTTACATGTTGGGCTGCTAAGTGCACGTGCCGCATTTCGAAACCACCAGCCGCTCCACGGGAGAAAGACGATGCTCTCTGCTCCTGTAAAGAGTCAGTCTCGGACACCCACAGGGCCAGTTCTACCCGGTCCCATACGGTCACTATGAGTCAGCAACTACTTGATGGCAGTAAGTTTGTTTTTTGTTTGTACAGCTATCTAATAGCCTCTACATCAATTTAAAAAATTACTTTCATCTGCCTTTTACGATGTTCCTGTTTATTTCTCTTGTTGTTAACCAACTTTGTTTTCCCTTTTTCTACTTCTGATAAGTCTCTCTGCCTCTCAACAGAATTGTCCCTTCTGATGTTTTGCTTTTAAACCATGGAGTGGGAAAAACAGCTCATTGACGTTACACATTCAAAGTAGTTCAAAGAAGTCGAGTTTTTTCTGAGAGAACACCCAAAGGGTTCTCCTGGTAGTGAAATATTCCCATTAAAATACAATAATTACATAGAGCTATCAGAGCAAAGCCCCTGGCCAGACAGCCCTACACAAATACTACACCAGGTAGAGATAGAATAATACTGTTATCAAGTAGGAAGGGCACTGTGTTTATACAAGTCTAAGCTACCCCCCCTCCAACCCCTGCCCCAGAAAAAACCCTGAAGTAGTTTTGAAACAATGAACATCTAGCAGAGAGGGCTTACAAAAAAAAAAAAAAAAGATTAGGATACAAGCAGATAAAGGCATCTGACTTAAAAAAAAAAAAAAAGCAAAACACAGATATGAAAGATCAAGCCATGGTCTGTTACAAGATTTGATTAAGAGATAAAAATTTAACAGCTGCTCAGGAAAAAGGATGGTAAGAGTTGAGATTCATATCACATGCAGATCCTCATACAGGCTTCATTATGATGTAAATGATAAAGTCTTCAATAACAACTCTGGATATAAAAAGCCGAGTTTCATTTGGCTGTTCCTTACAGTAATGTGATCTCATAATAAAATGTAGTAAAAGCAGTATGACCTAAATATTCAGCCGTCTGGTGCTTTGGCTTGATCTAAAAATAAAATTTGACTAGACAGCATACAACAAGAACATCTTCAAAATATATAGCAGACAAACAAGCAAAAATATTTAGTAAAACCTTTTGGTACATACTGCCTCCCTCCCTCCCTCACTGCCCCAGAGTTGATTCTGACTCACTGCAACCAGCAGGACAGAACAGAACTGCCTAGAGTAGAAGCTGGGCTTCTAAGGCTCTAACCCTTCACAGGAGCAGAAAAGTCTCATCTTACTCCTGTGGTTGGCAGCCCAATGTGTGGTCCACTAGGGCCTCCAGAGGTCCTGGCACATGCTGCCTGAGGAGGGCAAACAGCGAGGCAGATAAAGTACATGTGTATGAGATCTAGGTTTGATGCTCCTTATTACTTTCCATTATTTGTAGTGGTGACACATAAAGGCCACCCCTGTTCTGCAGCCCCACCCAACACTCATTTCCCCTCAAGTCTGCCCATGGGCTTCCAGGAATTTCTTTTCATTCCAGATCCCTGGACAAATTCAGTAGAACTCAGTCATGAACATTTAGGACACTCTCCTCCAATGAACAATTCTTGCATTTCCTGGGCCACCCTAAGCAATTCCTTCCAGAGGCAGCAATAAAATACAATTATTAATATATTGAAAAGAGTTCTTAATGTGCACCAGACTATAGGTATTACCACCTTCAACAAGACCCTTAAGTCTTTCCCACCCCTTCTAAATATATTGTTTTTAATTCCCAGCTTTTCCCCTGATAAAATGACATCAGTGAACATCTGTTAAGGAAGCTTTAGACTGCTACTTACTTTTGAATCTAATTTTTGTTTTACATATGCACCATTTGCTGCTGTCAAGACATCATTTATCAGGATAAAAACATATCCTTCTAGATCGAATGCCAAATCGGAGCTGCAAAACATAAGTAACACTTAGGTAACAACTTACATTTCAAGAACATGCAATTTAATTTTAAACATGTCCACTGGAATATTTGCAGGAATGCATTCTTATCGAGGGGAGTGAACATCAGGTATTGTATCAGCTACCAGTATTCTCGATTCCTGGTCACAGTTTGCAATTCCATACTCAGTACAGGAATATTCAGAAATAAGATGCACTAAAGTTTAACAGCATCAATAATAATAAGTCATTCCAATTAATAACATTCTACTCGGAATTCAAATTCAACAAGCAACCAAATTTCCATTTGAAGCATAAATGTGATACAGGCAGAAGGGTCAGATCTCATTTCATAGACAAGGAAACCAAAAGGATGATGCCTTTAATGAGTCATCTTCCAGGGATTCACACCAAGGGGTCCACTGTGTTGCAGAGGGTCACCGAGTAGAATTTCCAAAGGGTGAATCACACTTAGTTCCAACATCAACCTACATCAATGTCTAAGTACAACGTAGGAGCACACATACGCCAATAATTGCTCAAGGAGCCTGCGAGGTGAAACTAGTAGAGTTGAGGAAGACAGAAAATGTCTGGTACCTAGCAAAGAAGCAGGCACAATAATAGAAATGTGAATTTAACAGAATAAAGGAAAATCTAAAACACACAAAGAAGTATGCCTTCCTCATACTTTAGCAACCTAATTGAAAGCAGCCCCACAGTCTACACTTTGGAAAAGGTCCTATATACTCGTAACTAAACTGCATGAAGCCTGGACCGGGGAGGAGCGCTAAGCCACTGCCGTTTCACGCAGGGCCGGCCTCCTGTCCGAGGAGCCCTGATGTGAAGCAAACAGTTGGCAGTTTGAAGCCACCAACCTCTCCCCCATGGGAGAGTGATGTGGCCATCTGCTTCCGTTGAGATCACAGCCGACTCTGCCGGACAGGCTCGCTGTGAGTGGGAATCAACTCCAGGGTCACAGGACTAGGAGCCTAATGTACATCTTCCTCCCCCGGCAACCATTACCCGACAACCCTCTGGCTCATTCAGGTTCCTCCCAGTTTCTTTTCCAAATAAGAGGTTCTAAATAGACAAAGGTGGCCCAGGCAGCAATCCTCCTCAGAACCTTTTTGCAAGCCGGCGCCGGCTCTGAAGCAGGCTCTGCGGTGCACTTTTTGATCTCGTCAACTTCCAAGAAATGCTTCAAAGACTAGCACCGCCTCTACAAAGATACAAACTTCCTCTCCACAGAGGCAATACAACCTGAAGGGTAAAGCAATCAATTACATAAGTAAATTAGTACCCGATCATGCCATCCTTATTGATTGAGGATGACATTCCAATAGGCAAGTTAGGGGTGAATAGAATTTGTCTTCTGAAATGTCGTCCTACACCACAGGGATGGGATAAAGGTAAATCATTCAATCCAAGAAGCAAGCTGGAACTCCCGGATGGAAGAGATGCCAAGCAGAACACATACCTGCATGTTGTGTGATGAGGGGTAGAGGGAGGGCCCTGCTGTTGTAACCGACTACACACTGGGCTAGCGGCTAACCTGCTAGTTCAACAGCCTGAACCTACCAGCCGCTGTGCAGGAGAAAGATGCGACTTTCCACTCCTATGAAGACTGCAGCCTCGTAAGGCCGCAAGGCCGGTTCTACTCTGCCCTACAGGGTTGCTATGAATTGGAATCGACTCCATGGGAGTGGATTTGGTTTTGGGTTAGCTTTGGGCTGAGTAGGATGTTGTAGATAGAAGGCTGCTAGCAATCATTTTAACTCTGAGTCATTAGGTAATACATTTTCCTATGCATTTTAAAACTGAAAATTAAGACAAACAGAAAAAAGCTTTACTAATGTAATATTTAGAAATCTAATAGAATAAAGTTGAGGTATTCGTGCTATGCCTTAACTGAGGCCAAATAAAGCCTTGCTACGGGAGAAGATGTGACTTTCTACTCCTGTAGTCAGTCTCAGAAACCCACGGGGGCAGTTCAACTCTGTTCTCGAGTCACCATGGGTTGGAACTGGCTCCATGGCAGCGAGTTTGCCTTTTTTTTAAAAAACAAAAACTCTTTAATAATGACAAAGGCAAATGACTCATGGTCCTTTGCCTCACCAACAGAAAAGCAGACACTATTTCCTTTAGCAGCAAGCAAGCTCAAAGAACCCTGCATGAATTATAACAGCGCCTAGGCTCTGGAGGAAGGTGTACATTCAAATTCTAGCTCTGCTGTCTATTAGCTGTAGTGATCTTGAGCATGTTATTGAACTTAAGTTTCAGATTCCTCCAATATAGAAAAGGAAAGAACTACAGCTCTCAAAGTTGTTATGATGAATCTACAGAAAGGTAAAAATGCTAACATTATGTGGTGCACGGCAGGTTCTATAGGGTCAGAAATCCTAAATTCTGTGAATTTAGCTTTTAAGAAAACCCCAAGAATGAATTTTGCCAGCCTGATCTTAATATGGCCAAAAATATAACTTTTCAAAGAGACTGTGGATAGTTTTCAGAAATATGACTTTAGAGCATGGTGTTCACTGATAATTTATAGTTAATTATCAATAACTACGGGCCAACATCTTACCTGGCAGCTACAAAGGCGCCAATAATCATTGCAAATACAGTCATTTTGATACCCCAAGAAAACGTCTTCCTGTAAAAAAATACACACCATGTATACATGGATTCAGTTACTCAGATACTGGTTTTATAACACAGGCAATAAAGTAATGAACAACAACAAAAATAACTGGAACAATATTTGAAACACTTTTACAAGGGAGCTTCAAAAGCTTCATAGAAAAATTCCATTGTCTTTTTTTTTAATTAAAAGATCATTTTATTGGGGGCTCTTACAACTCGTATTACAATCCTTACATCAATTTTATCAGGCATATTTGTACATATGTTACCATAATTCTTTTCAAGACAATTACTTTCTATTGAGCCTTTGGTATCAACTCCTCATTGCCCCCTCACCCTCGTGACCCCTTGATAGATTACAAATTATTATTTTCGTATCTCACACCGACCACTGTCTCCCTTCCTCCGTGGTTTCTGTTGTTCTTCCCCCTGGGGAGTGTGTGTGGTTGTGTGTCAATCATTACGATCAGTTTCCCCTTCCTCCCCCCAACCGCATCCCCCTTCTCCCTGCCCTTCTGGTATCCCTATTCCCATTCCTGCTCCTGGATTCCACGTGTCGTGAGCTCTTATCTCTTACCTATACCTGTGTACATGCTCCGGTCTAGTCCGAAGTGAGAGGCAGCACTGGGTCATGATAGAGGGGGTTCAGGAAGCCTCAAGGAACCTGAGCGATATATTGTGCGTTTCATCGGTGTTTTATTGTGTCCTGCTTGATTCCTTCCTTCCCTGTGATCCATTGTCTTTTAATTCTATTTTTCCATGCACTTTTTTGGAAGCCCCATATAAGCAATCATTTTATCTATAATAACTATATTTACATTTTAAAATTCTTAGTACTTGAAGTTAATTTGAATTTTAAATAAAGCAGGACTTCTTTATGTAAGAAATTATCACATACATTTGTATAGAAGGCAAATTATAAATGCTGTTTAAAACCTACAGCAAAAATTGTGACCTGACTTTACACAATGGCAACAATAGGTAATGAAATTCTAGAAAGTAAATCAATGTTCAGGTAGATTTCTAAGATTTATTCTCTGGTTTTCCTACCTACATCCCCCACATATCAATCCCCATAGCAAGGGAGAAAGTGCCTTAAACTCCTCAAAATCTGTAATAGAAGTAAAATAAATAATTTCAGAGTCTAATATAGATGGGCATATTTAGCTATATTGGAAATTGAACTCACTTGAGTAAAACTCCTTCAGCAAACATTGTAAGCAGGATGGAGAACCTTCTCAGAACTGTAAACATTGGCAAGCTGCACAAAAAAGAGAGCATTAGGTAAAATAATGGTTAACTTTTTTTACATGAAATTTCTAATTATCATTTTAAAATAACGCTTATCTCCTGCTTCTATATAAAGTAAGTCCTATGATGATTAAACTATGATTAAGCTCATGCTTCTGTCTAGAAATCATTCTTACTTAAAAGTCTACAAAGATTGCTTTTATGAAACTACAGGTGGAAAACGCCAAACTAATATAACATAAAAACGGTGACGATTATACATCATTCAGATGAACAGTGCCCACATTCTTATTTCCCTCGGCTAATCACGCAAGCACCCAGAACGGTGAGCACGTTGGCCTTTAGTAGAAAAGGTTTCTTTCCTTTCTCCGTTGGCCTGCCCTCCACATCCCTTCATTTTCCTCCCGCAGAAGTAATTTCATCCTCTACATTCATCAAGAGCATGGACTCTTGCAATATAATATAGCTTATCGGCCGTCCTCGGGAAATAAAGATGTGTGTGCACTTCAAAGAACCACTTATGAAGCTGGCAACCAAAGACAGAGTTTGAAGGAGTGAATGCATAAATCGATGGATGACAATGGAAGGGGAAGAGCAACTCTGAACAAATGTATTTAGCAGCAGCTTGCAGCATTTCATGCCCAAGGGTGATGAGACAGAAAAGGACGTCCTACCCATGATAAACTAGATTTCCTTAAAACTTTAACTATCACCTTGGTCGTTCTGACCAACTTTGTGGGTCTGACGGATGAGAGAACGATCCCCAGGAACCCTCAGAGCTCTCCTTACCCTGTTCCCCACTCCCCAGGATTCCAGGGTATTAGCTCTTATGGAAGTGTAACCAAGAGTTTCTTTCTAACAGTTTCCTCCAATGTGATGTTTTAACAGCACACACACCCAATTTCTTAAGTGGAGAATAAAACAAAAGAAACCCCCAAACGCACTGCTATTGAGGCGTTCTAACTACAGGACAGAACTGACCCTGTGGGTTTCTGAGACTATTAATCTTTATGGAAGCAGAAAGTCTCATCTTCCCCCATTGGAGTGGCTGGTGACTTGAACTGCTGACCTTGTGATTAGCAGCCAAACATGTAACCTATTACTCCACCGGGGCTCCTGAAAAGCAGAATAGAAACTGGGAAGTTGTAGGGCAATAAGAGGGGCCCTGGTGGCACAGTGGTTATTCACGTGCTCAGCTGCTGTCCAAGAAAATGCGAACCCACCAGCCAGTCTTTGGGAGAAAGCCGTGGCAGTCTGCTTGTTAAAGATTACACAGTCTTAGAAGCTCTGTCTTTGGGGTCACTGTGAAGCAAAGCACAAAACAGATGTTCTGGGTTTCTTTGGGGTGTTTTTGAGGGTAACACTGATTGAAGCCCTTCCAGACCGGGAACCTGCTTCCAGGATGATTACAGTCGAGAATACCAATACCTTATGAGGTAATTCTATCTGCCAAGTGGGTGTCAACGAGTCAGAACCAACTCTACACCACCCAACAAGTTACGGGACCCAGTGCTGGGTGATTCAGAAAGAGGCTCAACTACTAGCTGAGAGGTGGGCAGTTGGGACCTCACCCAGAGACATCTCGGAAGGCAGGCCTGGCAAGCTTCCACAAAGGTCTTAAAAAGCCTACGGAGCGGTTCTGCTCTGCATGCATGGGGTCCCATGAGCAGTCGTCAATTCAAATGCAGTTTAACAACTACCACCTACCCGGTAGTCATACCACCGGGTAGAAAGCTATTGATCAAATAAATTCCTATTGGGGTTCTAGATAGGATTTTATTCTAAATACATTGTGTTAAAAAATAAAACTGCAAAAGTCCTTGTGCCCTCTCTAATTTTTTGTGTGCAAAAAGTTTTTCTGTGTATGTTATTTAATGTAATACAGTATTTAGAACGGTATTATAGAATTGAAATTCTGGAAGCCTTGCATATTTCCTGCACTACAGCAAGTCTGGGAAAACAATGAGAATCTCCATCGCATTCTTTTATAGCATTCTGAGACCACCCAAGACAGGATTTTCTTTTATTGACAAGGGGGGAGGGAAAAACAAACAAGACAACAAGCAGAACACGTCACTCTATTCATATAGAAGGGATTTAAAGCAAGACCTTTGGTGTATGCCTCTCTGTGTCCTATTCACTTCCGGGGCCCTTCATTTTTTTCAGAATCAGTAATACATCAACTATTTGATAATCAAATACAGCATGAAGAATACATTATATTAACCTCACTAGTAAAATAAAGTTAGCCATACTTCAGTTTCTTTGTGCTGAACAGTCCCGTGATTTGGTTCCCAAAATATAGTAGAGGTAGTGGAAACGTCTAGAAAAATTAAAAAGGGATAACAAATGACAAAGACAGCTGAAACAAAGTCCTTTCAAACAAACACTTTTGTTTACGTGATTAGTTCTCATACAGTTTTGACCCCCCTGAGGCACCACAAACAACATGAACTCATCTCGAATTAGCAGCAGTAATGACTACAGCAGCAGTGGAGAGAGGGAAAGGAAAGGGGGGAAAGTAGCACATAAATAGGACCAATCGAGTGGAACAGAAACATCATTTGCTTAAAAATAATGAAATATTAGCTCATGGTTCAAATGGCAGCATTTTACCTTAACGAGGAAGCAGGCAAAGAATGTGAAAATAAACCCAGGGCACACTAGCTAGCTTAGGGGGACATAGCAACCACAGATCTACTGTCTTCTCAACAAGTGTGCATCCATGGAAAACTTGAGTGTCTTCGTTTATTTTCGTCTTAAAGCGCGTGTGGGGCTTCTTTAAAACAAACACATTACTACATTGACTCTTTACCCGCAGTACACCCACACTCACTTTGGCGATTTGAAGGCTGCATTTTCTAAGTATAGAAAAGTATGATTAAATATATATATATGTATATATACACATACACATATATATAGTGGTCTATTTTTATGAGTCACCTTAATAATAATAATTATTATTACTTACCTTTCGAGGTACATTTCTATCAAGGTCAGGAAACTTGACAACTCGGAGCGCCTTCCCCACCGCGAGCACTGCCACGGTGGCCACCATCTGTACCCAGAGAACACAGAGCCACTGTTTCACACAGAAAGGCCCTCAGAGGAGTTCCCACCGCACAAGCCCCTGGACGCTGGAGCCCAACTGACCTGGCCGAGTCCGACGCAGAGCGAGGAGGGAAACCTACGGCAAGGGGAACGAGAACGAAGGGGGGGAAGTCGGCACACACCCGCGCGCCTGCAAGTTCCCTTTGCCAATCCGCCCCCCAAACGTCCAGACACCGTCCCCCCCCAACGTCGACCGCTTTCCCCCAAATGACAGTGCTTGTGAGAAAAATCCCGACCCGTGGGCTGGCCGCCCCGCCCGCGCGCGGATTTTGTAGCCTGGGGGCAACGTCTAGTCTCGCCCTTCAATCCCACGGCCGCCAGCCACGGGCCGTTCCAGACCCCGGGTTCCGAGCGGGGCTCGCGCGTCCCGGCGCCAGCCACCGACGTGTGCACGGGGCGCGGGTCCGCTCGCAGCCCGGGGCTGTCAGAGGCGCGGACGGCGCCGCAGCCCAGACGCCGCCGGGGGTCGGGGGGCCGGGCTCG